TTTGTTAACCAATGCGAAAAAGGACTAGTTTATCATAATCGACTCACCCTACATGCAAGGTCATCGCAACAAACATATAGCATCTGGGAGAGTACTCATTGTCAATTGTCCACAATTGTCTCAAGTTCTCAAGTACACAAAATGAAGAGTTCTTACAATCGCAGGAACGTTACAATTGAATATAACCCCGTTCTCCAGAGAGCAGTATATACAGATGAAAGCCTCAATGCTTGAGGTGCCCATTGCTTGTCAAGGGAGAAGGTTAAAAATCTATGGGTTCGAAATTGATACTAAATTTAGCAACGTCTGAAAAATAATAACTTGAATAGACTAACCTTTCCAGCAAACAAATCAAGGTGACCAGGAGACATGCCAATAGAAGGCTCGACGTAGAGTTTAGAATGATTGAAGAGAAGCGCAGATAAGGCTCAGGGGTCATAGCGTTCCGACAAAAAGGAATGACCCCCCAGGAGGGACGATGGGTGGCGGTAACGGTGATTTTGGTGGGGTTTGTCGCTGATAGACCGTCATTGTCAAAGTCTGAGACCAGATTTGAACTGTTCAATGCATCCAGAGGTCTGAAGGTCTGAGGCAGCGCTAGTGAGATTCGGGGAAAAAAAGCAGCTCAAGCCCGGGAAAACGAAAATCTGATGCCAGCAAGCACAGTGACTATCATTAGACCTTCAAACAATATGTATTGGTCCTAGCTTCAGGCTTCAGTAATTCAGTATGCCAAGGTCCAAATTTACTTGATAAGTATATATGTAGGTGACGGTACAAAGTACTATGTATAGTTAGTTTGAGTATACGCCGGAGTCATTCCCGGCTGGTCATACATTAAGCATATCAACGGTGCACTGTGTTGCTTGGTTCTAAGGCTTTTTGAGCTCGCCATTCGCAATCATTCGCGTATTCACAGGTGCTGACGACGATTGAGCCGCAAACAAGACAACGACATTCAGAGAAAACTCACAAACACCGCGACGCGTGTTCCAAAGGTACTCCCTCCGGCTTTCGTTCGCCCCGCCACCATTTAAATATATGAGACAGGTAGCCATCCAGTTCGAGATCATCGTGAAGAAACTCTTTGCGGCCAACTATTTCGAAGCGGTCAATGCCATTGGGTTCTGGAAGGCTTTGGACTGATCTTGGAAGCGAAGTTGCTCCTGCTAATCGATCAGCTGGAAATCTTGAGGGTGTCTGACTACTTTTATATACCTGGAAATTTATCTTCCCGATCTGACGGTGGCATCATCGACTGCTGTATTGCCCATTGTAGCTGGGCGTCTTCGAGGTCGTCTGAAACTGATGATAGACCCGACGGTCGATTATTTGAATTAGCACTTGGCCCTCCGGTCATTAAACTGTTTTCCATACGATTTGATGGACCTGCAGTGGAACTCTCAGCTCCAATTAATGCGGCGATCTGAACCGGAATATCCTTGGGTGTATTTGCGGTTTCACATTCATCAAGTACGGGGAGGGCAATAGCTTTGCCTTTCTGCTTTATATCAGGTGCAGGTCTCAATCGATATACCAATTCCAGATTCTCATTAATGCCTTGGATATTAGCTTCCTTGACAAGCTTGTGCCATGAAGTTACCACATCATCCAAACATGTCGTTTGGAACTCAGTATTGTCTGAGATCAAATTTGCCTGGACAAGAAATTTTGTGGGGAATCGAGAGGACGATGCCACTCCTAGTCTTTTCCAAAGCGGCCCAAAATCATAGGGCGGAGACTTCGCTACGAGTTGTGAAAGAAGCCGTCGGTAAAGCATGAGTTGCAACCGCCCTGAAAGCGTGTCATGATGAGGGGGGACAGTCCGATACCGTCTTGTCTTATTGTCCATTAAGTAGAGCATAGAAGGTGGATTGACTGCGGAGGGTGATGATGTTGGTTCTTCAATGACCATTGTTTCACTGCGATTGGGTGGGTCGAGTACTTTTTCTCGACTCTCTAAGCAAGAGGGAATTACATTCTGTGGGGATATGGATCTCGTCCGTGCCTTTTTAGCTTTGGACTTCGAATGGGGTTTATCCAGTGGCCTTTTGGGACTTGCCCTCTCTGGGCTATTTGCAGATACTGGAGGATAGGGAACTCGTATTACTTCGTCCTGAGGGAAAGCTTATTCAAAAGTTTGAAGCACATTCATATTACCCTCACCACTATACCAACGAGGACCTCGTCATGTACGATGCCGAAAACTGGCATTTCACGCTTGTTATAAGCCAAATAAGCGACATCATTATACATAGAGATAAAGATATACCGTAAATCCATCAACTAGCATACATTTCAGACATGCCAGCATGTTGACAAGCCTGGTGAAACCATTTAGAGGATTCTCCTTATATTGCCAGTAATACCTACCGTAGAGCCCATCTCGTTTCTTCACTGCTGATGTCGACTTTAAGTTCAACCATTCGAAGCTCCCGCTCTAACTCTTTATGAACTGCCTATAGCATGATGATCATTGAGAATTTCGAAAGAAAAATAAAATCTGTGACGTACGAGACCTTGCTTGGTTCTTACATCGTTCTTCACAGCAACCGATTTTTCAACAGATATTGTCTTTCCCGATGAGGAAACGAAGGATGTGGGTCGTGCGCCGATAGGACGGGACCTTTTCCCTCGTAGTCCATAATCAAATTGGACCTCACACCTGTAAATTTCGGTATTAAAAAGTCTCATAATCAAAGGAGGTCAAAGAAATCTACCAAGCAGGAGAAACTAAATCGGAAACCGAGAGTATTCTTCTAGAACGAAATTGTTTCAAAGGGGATGGCTGGGTCGAGCACTCTACCACTTGAAGAGGAGTCGCCCCTCCATCTTCTATTTCAATCTGGATGGAAGGGCAATCTTTGTGTTCGTTTAGTTTGATGGAAACCGCAGAGTCCAATTGGGCCAATTCTTCGGGTGTTAGGGAAGATAAGTTGAGTCCACCAATTTCCGACTGGAATGAACTGTCGCCTGTGGCATCATCGCCCTGCATGTGAGATAGGATGGCGGCATCTATCTGTGCGAAATCTTCCTCAGTAAATTCAGAGAAATCAAACACAGAGTAACTGTCGGAACTTATATCCGACATCTTTTGGGTTCTTATTGGTCTCTCGCCAGACTCGCCTGGAACCAGTGCGGTAGGGTAAGATGCAAGCGGCATACGACGGGCGATTGTGTCGCCAATTTGGGATTTATTATTTATTTCACAGATTGAGCTTGTGAATTTGGGAAGTCGGTGGAACAACCATGATCACAGAATAACTTCAAGGTGCAAAGCACGTTCCAAGTTCATGACTCACGAGTCGGACGCGCTCCAATGTTTACGATCACGTGCAATTTGTCCATCAGGTGATGAGGACAGGCTTTCTGTGCCAGCCAACTAGCCTTACACCTGTTACGGTTGCGATACTGGAAGCCCTCCACTATCAAAGTTTTCATTCTCCGGGGGGTTGCCGGTGGACGGCTTTACATGTGAGCTACGCATCAAGCGATCAACAAACATTTGGAATTGATAATTTTAAATCTTACATGCTCGCGCTTGCTCTTCTTCTGTGCGAGAATGCTGGAGTCATTGGTACTATGAATGGGATGGGATAGCAAGGCTGAAAAGCGGGTGTATGTATGTCATTATACCCAACTTCTAGGGGGTTTTGGGTTGGTGTTTCTGGTGTTTCTGGTATAGCTGTTGTGTTAACAGATATCTCTGACTCTTCCTGAGTATGTTCTTCCATTGCTGGGATATAATGAATAAATCATATATTATTCTTCACTATATTAGAGGCAAAGGGGAGTCACATGCGACGAGAAATGGCAGCTCAGGGACCGGCATTGTTTCGGAGTCCGAATTTTTTGATAGTGGAGGGCTTCCAGTATGGTAACCGTAACAGGTACCAGGCGTTATATCGGTGAACGTCGTTCTTCACTGATCATGTGACGACTGGCTGGCGAGGCTACCAGCCAACCTTCGCCACGCTCTCAACTTTTGAACCGTTTCTACACGAAGATGAACGACAAGGCGGCATGGCTTTTCCATCTGCCTATTGCCCTACGTGAAAAATGGGCAAACGAGTTTGAATCGGGCATTGGTTGCGCCCTCTTGCTGGGTCTGTCCACCAGGCACCTGCAGAGTCCCTTGGACAAAGTATCACCATATAACTGGCTAGACGACAATTTCTGAATAAATGAAGCCTACTTAGGATGGCGTGTCCCACTTCTCGTCAATTCAAATTGGTGATTAGCCCTTCCATTCATCCCAGCCAGTGAATGCCTTGAGATAGCAATCGGCTGCTGGTGGTATGCACAACCAAAACTTTCACCTCAGACTCATGCTATCTATTCTGGCACGGATGGAATCTTTGATGCCTTCTTCCACGTGGAAGTTCCGCCAGTCAACCTGGGCGCCGTCATATGAGGCAGTGTAGATATCGAGATCGCCTTTCATTACTGGCAGAGATAGGCATTGCTATCATATGCACCAAACTCCACCAAAGATAAGGAGATAAACGCGCGCGCATTCCCAGTCAAGGCGATGTAGGATACAGCAATCAGCGCTTGTTCCTGAAGTCGATCCCAAGGGCTCGAGCAGAGCACCTCTTCTCTGATTCCGACAATCCAACTAACGGACATAACACTACGCATACACTAGACATCGAAAATCAAAGCAGTTAATATTGTATTCGGAAAGACGAGTGTGAATGGAACTTTCGGCTTCTATATGAATGTCCTTGTTAGGATCGAGGTATATACGCGTAACGCGTAATCGGCACTGGCAATATGGGCAAAATAGTCAAAGGAATTCGGCCTCGAGTGCTTACTCTCAGGTTAGACACGGACTGATAAATCAGGGTGGGCAAGTTGCTCGCTAAATTGTGTCAAGCTTGCGGAGACTTGCGATGGTCATAGGTGGGTCACCGCAATACCCCGCTCCAAGAATCTACGGATTCTAACGATGGTTGAGATCTTCTGTTCAAGTACAGAGAGTTTGGATAGTTTTAACATCTCTGTTAGTATATCGGTTAGTACACGCGCCTGTCATTATGATTCAAAACGCGCGAAAGCTGGGTTCGACTCCCAGACAGAGAGATCAAATTTTTACCCATTTGCTGCGGTGTTAAACGGAAGCTAAACTCAGAATTGTGGTTTGATCTGATCGTCATCGTGATTATTGTCAGCTTACGCGAAAATTCAATTAGAAATGTGGGCTGACTCTGCGGTTATATAAAATGTTTTTCAATTTGTCAAAGATCTTTTGTCTCCCAATGTCCTGAGGATGCATACGCCCGTTATCCATCTTATGCTTCCTCGTTCACCACCTTTCTTGATGGCCCAGAAGCCCAACGATGAATTAACCAAGTCTACACCACAGGATACTCAAACTTCCATCTTCGTCTTCATTTCAGCTCATGCTATTAGCTCTCTGGGCTTTGCAGTGGTAGGTGGTTCTTCTGTACATTCAACTTACTCTGGTCAATATTGACTCTTTTTTTTCTAGAGCCTTCTTGCCATTTGGTTTGGATGGCTTTTACCAACATCCTTAGCACCCTCTGCACCCTCTGAAAAGTCCGAAATAAAGAGCCCACGACCCGTAATACCTAGACATCACCGGAGATCAGTATCCTCCTTGACTAGGACTCCTCCAGTCCCTACTCCAGTACGACGGGCCTCTGCGCCTATTGATCTTGCGTCTATTCTTGTGCCCCATCATGAGGAGAATATCCCTGATTCTTCAAAACGAGTGTACTTTGCAGACCCTCCGTCTTTCCCAGTCTCTAGACGGAATACCATGCCGGAACCAAAAAAACCAAACAATTTCCTAGGCGTCTCAATTCTTGCTATTCCTCGTTCTTCTTCCCCTTCACGACCTGAAACGCCACCCAATGCTGCTCTGGATGAACTAAATGCCCAAGAATCTGATTCGTCCCTATCAAAACCTTCACGCCTCCAAAAGTTAAAGCTTGGTTTCAATCTAAAAACAAATCGTCATCTTCCAGTCACAGTGGATAAACAGTCCGATAGAGATTCGATTGTTAGCATAGGTTCGTTGTATCCTTTGCCACTTTTTCATGAAGCCATAATTAAATGTTGTTTCAATTAGATTCAACAGCATCTGAAAAGTCCACCAAACGCACTAGTGGTGGTTTCGTGGCAACTTGGTCAAATTCACGTGCGCCCACAGCTGGGGACGTTACTGAATCGGGATTAGCTTCTTCCTCACGATTATCCTTTGCTCGAATATTATCACCTTCTACCCCGGTAACAGCAACTTTAACACCTTCACAGCAGACCGTCGATGGCCTCCCATCTCACAAGTCCGACCGACGCCGATCATCACCCATTCCACGGACATATCCCTATGGAGCACCCTACTTCGCATCACCGCCGGTCTTGTTAGACAAGAACAATTACCCCAGTTACCTGAAAACTCTTCCACAATTTGAGGATGAAATCCAATTCTCCTCCGCACGTGCATCCGAAAGGGGCCGGGAACCGGCGATAACAAGGGTTGTATTGAATTCTAAGGTTGTTCATAAACGCAGGTCGGCGAGCGAGGACTGGACGGTGCGACCTCCGACTAACTCATGAACCCCCCACTATCTTTATGATCATCTTTGTAATTTACATAATTTGTGAGTGTATTCACCGTCCATCCTCCGCAGAGCTAACATGTAGTCCAAATATTCACCAGATTCAACGCATGGCACATCAATTATTCGCAGGGAACAAACTATTTTCGCAATGTACTTTTTACGCGGTATCGCTTAGCTCTTACATAATTGTTGTTGAAATCATGTTAGACCTATATTGCTACCTAGAAATCAATTTTCATTTTTGGGGTTTTCAAAACCAAAATAATCTGTTTCGGTCTACCATCATGAGTACTAATACGAATGTTACTATAGCCATTGATGATACCCCAATACCGAGCTTCGTGCCGGCTCTCATCGTCATCGACATGCAGCATGATTTCGTCTACGGATCACTCGCGGTGCCAGGTGGAGAGACCATCATCAGCACAATCAACGACATCATTTCCCTCCCAGGCTTCAAAGTCAAAATCGCTACCCGAGATTTCCACCCTGATAACCATATTTCTTTTGCCGACACACACCAAAAACCTCTCTTCTCAACAATTCCGATCTTCCACCCCGAAGATATAGAGAGATCAAAAGGAATTGAACAGGTATTATGGCCGATCCATTGTGTGGCCAACACTGCCGGAGCCGACTTTGTTGCGAATCTCAAGGCAGATTCTTTCGATGCAATAGTGCATAAAGGCACTCATCCACATATTGAATCGTACTCTGCCTTCCGAGATATCTGGAACAAAGGCAAAACGGAGTTGCCTGAGCTACTCTCGCAGAAGCACGTTACCGATATTTTCTTCGTTGGACTGGCTGGGGATTATTGTGTCAAGTATACTGCGGTAGATGCTTTGGAATATGGGTTTAAGATTTGGTTGGTTACAGATGCGATCAAGAGTATTGCAGCTGAGGAGCTGACATTGGAAGAGATGAAGCGGAAGGGGGCTAACTTTATTACCTCGGAGGAGTTGAAGCAGAAGATGACTAGTTCAAATCCTATCAACTGATTTCCACATATGTATTAACATTATCGTCTCACAAGAATTTTTTCCTGCAAGTACCTCGTGTTCTGGTGTTCATTAGTCACAGTAAGCAATGCGAGCGGCAAAGTCAGAGTAAGGTTAGGAATGATTAATTTCCATGTTGTTACAGCTATCTGCAAAATGCTCTGGCTGTTTCGAAATTATCTAGTCTCCCGTAGTCAGACTAATAAAATTCGTAGTCTTTTTTTATTTGTATTGATTGACGACATACTCATATATAGAAATTATCAGGTGTGCGCCATAGTAGATATGACGAATTGGAACCAACGTGGAGCAATCCATCGGGATCTGAAAAGGTTACAGACGTTGACCACTGTATATATTGCTATGACATAGTTGTTGTATTCGAGCGAGAAGAGGGGAGTGTGGAGCTGAAATGCCAACCGCATCATCACTCCCTATGTTTACACCAAATACGGGCACACACAGAAGAAATTTTCGAAATAATACTAGCGGGGGGGTCTTATCATGAAGGCTACCAGTTTTGATTCCTTCTGATGAGAAAAAATAATTATTTTGAGGGATATTGTACTGCTAAGTATTAAATCAAACCATGGAGGAGTCTACAGACAGATCGCGAGTCGCAGCCTTGAATATGATTCTAAAAACAACATATCAGACATGAGGAGAGAAGAAAATAAGAAAGATGTAACAAACTCCGAGTCTTTAGCCCTACTACTCATAGGGCGGCTCTTGATTCCAATTTTCGTTCTGAAAAATTGGACAACAGCATGAAACGTGGCTAGGTAGTTATTGACCGATTCCTGAGTAAAGCCGAACATGGCAAAGAAAAGGAGACCGATCCAAACTATGATCCAGCGATTCAACTCCAAGCTTAACTCTGTTATCATAGTAGAGCGCCACAAAGCGGCTGGCAGCAGGATGACGTTGGAGAGGTGATGATGCTCTTGTTTCAAACCAGGGAAAGGGACGCTTGGGCCCACAATCCCAGAGTATAGATAAAAGAATGTGATGGGGATACCAGTAAGAACGTCAAAGATAGAAAAGCACATGAGCCTTATGTATCGATTTGAGTCGAGATTTCGATGGTTTGATACAAGTTGGTTTAGCTCAGAACGACGTTTATAGAAGGCACGTATGCTCAGACAGCCGTAAACACCAGCGATGAGTTCCAAGAGGAATGGCGGGACACCGGAGATAACGACTGCAACCCAGGAAGAAAGGAGTGCTGGAAAACACCCATAGTCTTCAAAAATCATAAACCGAGATCTTTGAGCGAAGAACGCTGTAATGAGGATCATTGAGTGAAAGAGGGATAGTAGATATAATAACAAGACAGACAGAGAATTATTTCTATGATAGGGAGTCCAATCCCAATAGCGAGATCAATCACTACTTCGCGACGCTTGTCCGCTTCGGAAGGGAGTACTGAAGTAGGCGATGCCAAGAGATAAAGACGGCGATTGATGCAGAGGTTTATGGCTGGGATAGCAACAGAAACTCCGATATTGATCCTGGACGCTATCCAATAGTAGAATTTGTAGTCACTACTTATGTAAAACAGTAAGAAAGAAAAACTGACATATATCACACCAGACTGGGGCCCAATTTATTGTGTTGTGGTTCCATATAATGGAGTTAATACCCAAGGAAAGACATGAAAGTCCAACCCACGCCAGAAAGAGGTGAGTACCAACATTCCAGGCTGAATCATAGTATTAGTATCATATGGATATTATGGATAAGGATCAGCTCACCATGTAATTGCATTGGAAATCTGATAAGACACAGAAAGAAGGAAACAAAGGCAAAGATAGTGAAGAGGTAGTTGGGTGGGGCAGGCATCTTCTATGCAGAGGGACAGCGTCGCGTAGATGACATTGCTTTAAGAGTGAAGACCCTTGTTCTTCAATTGGAACTGGAACTCAGAAGCAATCCCACCCTCTAGTGCGATCTCTTAAGACAAAGCACAGAGGTTGACGCGAATACCCAAGGTTCTTGTTCTTCAATTGGTTCAAGAATTGATCGTCGACCCAAAACGGGAACCTCCGATTCCTCATAGGACTCATGGTCTCAGGGTTGCCATCCACCTAACTACAGTGTTGCAGTCCCATCAATCCCAGGATGTTAACCACATAGCTTCTTATTCACAGAGAATTTTCGCGATTTTCATCCTGTGGCTTTGGCCTTCCCTGGCACCCATTCATCAAATTATATCGGTCTCCTCGTCCGGTATACAATGACAACATCACAAGCATGGACGAATTTCACCTTACGCGGTCTTTATCAAGAGATGAAGATGAAATATCAGATAGAATTAACAGGGTCAGCTTCATGGCAGCAAGGGAGAAAAGGGATGTCTGGCCCAGCTTCCTCCGTGATATCCGTTCTGCCCACGCATATTTTTTCTCTTTTCGGGTTTGGAGGATGTTAAAGACATCGAACCGTCAAGCGTTTGCAGCTACTCTGATAACCCATCATGTGTAAGGAGAGCCAT